ACGCCACCAGGGCGTTGCACTCTCCACTTATAACCCCGGCCTCCGCGGACGCCTGTGCGGAAAGGCTCAAGTAAAGCGTCATCTGCGAAAGCCCTGAGCCCAGATTCTGGCAAAAAGTACGCCGACATTCACGATCCAGCAGGCTGTAAAACGCTGAGCATGCAGACGGACCCAGGCTGGCCAGATGGCTGAGATGGAGCAGGCTGCTAGAGACACCAGGCGGAGCGCAAAAGCGTCCTCTGAATCGGATGTAATGTCAGAGCCAGAGCAGGTCTGTCCTAGAAGCGCCGATCCAGTTCAGCGTGGTTGGTAGCGCTGACCTTCCGATTCGGGCGAAGCCCTCCTCCGGAGAAGCACAGGCCTCCTCTGCATTGACCAGGGGAAGCGTGACACTACCGACCCCGTGATTTCTTCTTTTGTTCTGAGGTTGGCGCCTTGAAGCCTGGTGCTGCTGTGCTGGGGTATCCCGTTGGCGATTGGATGAAGATCGAGGCAGGCCGCTGGCGTGCTGCATGCTTGTCTCATCCTACAGCCTGCCAGCACAGGCATCCACAACAAGCCAGTGGGTCCGCCCGCCTGCTGCATGCACAGCCGTTTTTTTGCGCTTGGCTTTGCGAGATCCGGGGTGCTGCTAGAGCTCTTGTTTCCAGTTGTTGTTGCAACCGGACGTCCGGAAGCCAGTGGCTCGCACCCGCGAGCGTCCAATCGGTACTGTAGCCACTTGGCCACTGTGGCGCTCGGTTTAGGGCCCGGCCCTTAGCCTGCGGAACACTTGCACGCTCTGCCCAAACCTCCCCGTTGGGCTTAGCGAGGTGCAGCCTTCTCCAGCTTAGTTCGCATGGAAGATGGAGAGCTGGACACCGAAGGCAGCTGAGCTCAGCTGGAGTCTATCTGGCATGGAATCTCTGACGAGTCTTTCCGACAGGCCCGGGCCCGGGCCGGAAAAGCGAGGAGTCGCTCTCCTTGGACACCTCAGACCGTTTCCAGGAGCATTTTGCGCCTTCAACGAAGGAGTGGAGCCCGTTTTAGAGTCGCTGTGCTGTGAGGAGCTCCTGCAAGAGCTCCTTTCTGAACACCGCCTGCGGGTCAGCGAGCTGCGAGAGGCGCAGTTCTGTTGCCTTGCGTTGCGCTGCGATGCTGCAAGCGGAGAGTGCTGGCAATTGCAGCAATGCTACAAGTGCTGCGCGCGAATGGACCAGGCGAACCAACAGTTGCACCAAGAGGTATGCGAGCTTCACATGCCGAAGCCTTACAGTCTGAGGCTCCTTTTACCAGTCTAGTCACGAATCCACCCCAGAACTTGCCAGCTCTTGCTATGGCAGGAGACCCTGTAGCGAGGATGCAGGCGAACCAAGTGTACCAAAGGCACCGGCTCGTGATTTCTCAACAATGCGCAAGGGCTGGCGGGACAGATTCGACTCGACGTTGATCAGCATGTGGAGGAGTTTTGGTCCCATGAGATTACGACGCCGCCACCGTCGACAGGCGACAGCCATGGCGAAGTGCATTGAACCCACACAGACACTGTATTTTTCGTATACATCCATCCGTGTGCTGCAGGAGCTGGCTCACCGGATTCGCACAGATTGAGGAACCAGCGAAAGGTGCCCTATCCCTGCTGCAAGTGAACCGTAGCCACGATCGGAAAGTGGCGCGCCGCGAGGTGCCAACAAATATGTCGTTCCTCCCCCATGACTTGGAAGCATCAGATGCCCTGTCGGCAGCATCGCGGGTGAGGCCCCTCGAGCCTAAGCAATGGAGTGCCGTATCTGTTGTCGTGGCCCGCTTGCACGTACGACACGCTTTGGACCAGACGATGTGCCTTGTTGTGCTCCGGGCCTGAAGCTGTGGTCCCTTGCAGACGCATGTGTCGTGGATTGTCGTGGAGCATCTTAACCGTCTTAACCAACGAGCTGGGGCATGCTGCCTCGATGCTAGTTGAATTATTCGAGACAGGAAGAGCACTTTTTGAAATCGAGAGGTTGCAGCTCATTGTCGGTTGTGGGAAATGGACAGGAACTGCATTGTCAAGCAACGGCCTGTAAACCAGACCCGCCGAATAGACGAGCGCCGCAACTTACTGTAGGCTGTATTCTTAAGGCCTGAGCTGTCCAGTTTTCAGAACCCTCTAACCAGACTCGACAGGACAAGCAGAGATCCTCAAGGTTTCCGGCGAGCCAAGACAGACATAGATGCGCTTATGCAGGCCTTAGACCATGCTCCTTGGACCTCTCGTCTCTGCCTCTGAGCACAACCGTACAGGCTACGGACAGCAACGCGGACGGCTTTCACCTCAAGGCCGAGCTGGGGCCAAGCTGGGGCCAAGCTGTGCTACCAGTAGATACCGGTTGTCCTGCAGAGAGCTTGACTTGGCTGCTCTTCTTTTGATCTCTTGCTAGTTACGTCCTTTGTCCATAAAGGCAGTCTGGACGGACTACCTGGACACCAACAATGACGTCGGCGCGCGTCTGAGCTCTATTTCGGACCTTTGCAGCAAGAGGCCCGTCAGCAAAAGCAGTTACAGTAGGCTGCCTTTCTTTTTCTTGTGGCTGTGCCTGTGCCATCCAGTGCATGGCAGAGCTCTTGCGAACGAGGAAACTCGGTTCACCACGGATGCAGAGCAAAACATGTACTGCACAGTTTGATTTTTACAGGGCTTCGCAGTTCTGAGGCAGTGGCTTCCAGCACTACTTCGCAGCCATGAAGGGAGCCAGGACAGGGATGGGGCTTAGGCTTAGGCATGGTTTTCGATGGCATCCCTCGCTATTTCGCAGGATGGACAGGGACAGTGGCCCAAGGGCGCCAACAAGCCCCCTCAGACTGATGAGAGGATCACGTCGTGCCTCCGGCATGTTGAAGTACTGCTGGTCTCTCGATGCAGGTCCTCTAAAGTCGACGTATCAGGTGAGCTGATGAATTTGGCAAATGTGGCCAGCGAGGAACCGCCCTGAGTGCCCTAGCCAGTTACCAGGTCAGATGTAGATCATGGCAACCAGGAGAGATGGAGACGCGGCCTGGCCATTGTAGCGAAGCAATGCAGACCAGGCCAGGATTGCAAGGCCCAGAGAGGCGACTCTTTGAGTGTGTGAGATTCAGGCATCATCTCTCCCAGTGGCACCTACCGGATGTTCTGGGACCTGCTAGGACACGTGTGTATTTTTTTTGTGTGTGTGTGTGTGTGTGCGCGTGCGAGGGTGGCGCGGTCATCATCATCTCGCAACAGGTTAGACTGAGGATTGGCAGCAGACCGTAGCGACCTTGGGCAGGACTGTTGCTCATCCTGTACGACACAGTCACCATCCCTCTGCAAGTTTTCGAGATAAGCAGAGGCCAAGATGACAGCACCCCGTGAGCAGCTTTGTAGCTATTTGTGCTAATGTGCGTCTGCAGATCAATGGTCCGTGACTATGGACTGGGTAACACTCTTCTTCTGGCGCCTGCCTCGTCATGCAAAGTCCCTTGACAACCTGTTGGCCAGAAACCACCCGACCGAGGACCCTCGACATGTTCCAATCCTTCTTCACAGGATACTTCCAGGAAGGCGTAAAGGTCATGGACCCAAGGCCCGGCCCCGCGTGATGGTCTTCTGCGCTCGTCGCCTTTCGCGGCTCCCGTTGTGACAGGCGAATAGTCACGAACTATCTGAGAAGCTGGTTCTGGCTCGACCTGCTAGTCGTCGGGTGGGCCTGCATATCAGCTCGCGAAGGCTGGGTTCATCAACAGCATGTGTCAGAGGCCGGAGTGGTTCACGTCAATGTCGCCTGATGCAGCCAGTTCCCAAGATGCGTTCTGAGATGCGTTGTGATCCCATGAAGCCGTTTTCGCGTACACTTGCCCTCCAGTTCGGCTTGGATGGCGTTGGCATCGGCCGAATCTTACGTCTAGGTCGAGCCATGCGCCCATGCCTCAGTGCTTCCCATCTGCGACTGCAGGCCACGTGAGTCCTCTCCAGGAGTGCTCCGATTGCTCCGGCTTTTCAAGCTGCGACGCATCGTCGATGCCCTGCTGGAGCTGGTGGAGAGCGAGTGCGCCGCGGCCGTGGCCTTCGCGACTTCAATGACTGCCGAGATGGTCTGCGATTTGGAGGTATGCCTTCACCATCATCAACCTTCTGAAGCTTTTGTTTGCCGTGTTGGCTGCTGCCTAAGCAGCTTCAGCAGGGTGCAGTCGAAGCTTGGCAATGCGCTTTTTCCGCCGAGGTCCTCAATCATGTCATCGCATGCGTATGGTGCCCCCCCATGTTTTGGTCACCAAGTCAATCGAGCACAGTGCTCTGTCCACATGTTGACGCTGCCAGGTATCTGGTTGGGAAGACAGGTGCAAACATGGGACAGTACAGCTGGTTCGAAATGAGTCAGCTGCCCAGACTTCGAGTGATTGGCTACCTGCATGGCTCTGTGCGCCTGTGGACTGTGCACTAGGCGGGCACTATCCGAACGACAGCATCTACATGTACTTCACTTCACTGCATTGGTGCCGAGCCCAGATCTCTCCAGAGACGAGCATGTCTGAAATTCCGGTTGTTGTTGGAACATGAGCCACCACATCATGGTGTGTCGTTGCACGGAACGTGGCACTCTTTCGATCTGTCGTTTACTCACTGGAATGCAATTTGTCTCGTCATGGGAGAGAGGTTCCATAGCAAGAAATGTACCAAAGAAGGTCCTTTGTGTCCACCGCTGCTACCTTGAGCCTCTGTCGTGATGAGCTGCTCAGTCCTTTTAGATGACATATGATTCGTTCAGCGGACGCGGACTCTTGAGCAGGGACTCTCTGCCCTTCGGGCAGGGTTGCAGGAACAAGACTCTGCTGCTAACACGGCAAAGTGCCGTGTCATGACAGACCTCACCGACATCAATCAAGCCACATGCATGGCTGATGTCGCCAAGAAGCTTTTCGGGCGATCGACTCCTGAAGTCGAAGCTCCTGTGACTCGCACCTGTAGCCTATGCGGAAGTCAGGAATCGTACAAGCTTTCGCTGCTGGTTTTCAGGTGGACCGAATTTCGGGCACTACTCCGGTGGGCAGCGTCGGCATCAAGTCCACACATTGAACCCGCTTGGTTCCCCATACATGCCTGGTGACCTGGGTGCAGGGGTGGCGGTTCTGAGCCTTGATCGAGTTTGTGTCGAAAGAGCGTGCTTGGATGCGAATTGTTTTTCCGGTTGCTGTGTGGATGCCGCTGCAGTTCCTTGCCCTCGTTGAGCGTGTTGGTCGTGTTTTGCTAACTCGGTGGACAGACTTGCAGCAGATTCGATTGGCTGGTGTGGCAAGAGACGCTGCAGCCCCAAGGGCGTCTGCCCTAAACGGGCTTCAGAGCTTTTCTCTATCGCATGGGCGTCTTCACTGCTCTGCTTCTTCTCATAGTGGCACAGCGAGAATTACAAAGTGCGCGGCAACCACGCATGCTGCTTTGAACTGTGTCACGTGGCAGTAGAGATTGTGTCGACGCAATGCTGTCGATGTTCGATGTCCAATCCGGGAAGATGCTTGGAGTGCTGTTACTTCGCTTTTAACTTGATGCGAGGAGCTTGACGCAGTTCACCCCAGCTTCGTCTGCAGCCGAGAGACTTCGAGCCACAGAAAGACAGTGTGATTGGTTGCTAGCCCTGAGATGCGCCGAGGATGAATGTTTCTGCAGCCAATACAATGGAGCGGATTATGTCCATTTGCGTCCTTTTCTTTGCGATGGCGGGGTGCTTTGCCATCTTGATTTCCTGGCACAATTCGCATGACACTTTGCGCCGGGCAGGTGGCCTTCTCGTCCATCGTCGGGCATATCACTGTCTGGAGCTGACGACATGCGGAAGAGGCCAGGAATCATGGCTTGATCTGCTCTGCCTAGGCTTCCATGTCGCATCTGCAGAACCTTCGCGCCTGAATCCCGGCCATTCCACTGGACTTTGGCTATGTCTACTTCCTGCGTGTGTTGGTTACACCAGTTGATCCGTTGCAGGGTGCTCAGATGAAGCAGTTCTGGATGCTCCGACGCTACCTGAAGCAGCGCTGCATTCGCCGAGACTTGCCATGAGCTCAAGCAGCAGTAGCACTCGGTAGCATCAGTGACATCCTGCCCAGATCAGATGCAACTGTTTTTGCGCCCTCTGCTTCTCAATCAACGGCGTAAAGATCCAGGCAGCTCCGAATTACCAAGTTTTTGGAGTACAAGGCTCGGGCTGGGTGTTTCGGAGAGCCAAGGCTGCTCCTCAGAGCACGTTTCTGCTGCATTCTCGATGCCTTGTCAGACGCAGAAAGAGCACGATCTGGTGCATAGCAGCCGGCTCCTCAAAGGAGTCCAGGAGCCTCTCGAAGTCTCGACTCCGACTGGGTCAACTTGGAGCGAAGAAACTGAGGTAGCGTGGTGATCTTGGATCAGCTCTCCGAGCCCCTTCGTAAAGAGTTGTCGTGTTGACCTCAGGCCATGTGGGACACCTTGTTACTTCTTAAAACCCACCACCAGAAAGGGGTTTGCTGTACATCAGCTTTGCTTGAGGTATGAAATCGTGATACAATGGCTGATGTCACATCCGTTCTTTGAAGTGTTAAGTTCAAAGATGCCGGTCCTCCCGTCGAACTTTGACTTGCAGAGAAGGTGGAAAGTGCTCGGAACGGTCTTTGCAGTTTCCGTCGCCAGGTAATCATGCACAGGCTGTGCCATCTTGCTCTGACGGAGATCGCCCTTGCATCTTCAGACGTGGTCTTCACCGCAGGCCGAGCAGAGTTTGAGGTCGATGTGGCGATGAGGTATTGTCCAGATAGCACATGAAGAAAGGTCACGAAGGCAAGCAGATGCTCTTCGTGAAGCACGGTGAGCTTGAGTGCGCTCCCTTATGCTTCGCTGCCAGTCGCTTGTGGTCCCCGCCAGCAACAACTCAACTGCTCTGAGAGCATTACTCCCTGCCAGGTACATGCGGCTGGGTCGCGAAGTCCTCGACCCACCATTGCTGCAGAAGGACCCACCCGTGCCCTTACTTCTGCTGGGCCTTGGAGGGGATCATGGCAGGACTGGTTTGTGGAAGCTGCGTTGTGGGTGTCATGGCGGCACATGGGAGACTGCAGAGTGTCCGGCCCCTATCAGACATGTCGCACGGCTCTGTTTCCCAAGTGGTGAGCATTAGATATGACAGGCTGTCACCAGGCGAGCTCATCGCCATCAGGCCTTCCCTGCTGTCATTGTTGAAAAAATTGGTGCAGACATGACTGGTGTGGTGTCTGCCAGCAACGACGTCTTCGCCAAAGAGATGCGCTTGCATCACCTGCGGGCATCTAAGTGTGTGCCAATTCGTTTTGGTTGCGCCTTTAGGCCCCTCTGGAGCTCATGGTAGAAAACTACAAACATCGGTCCAGACGCATTGGCAACACGGGTCGATAGACCCCCATGCGGCCACGTATGTGTTCAGCCACGTACATTGCGACTGGCCTGTATCGCATCATTGTTGATTGTTGATTTAGTTGAAGGTCACAGAATCCTGTTGGCTTAAGAGCTGTGCTGTTCAGGTTCCGTGCCTACCTCCTGGCCCTTGTTGTGTGCATGTCTGCAGCTCTCTGTATTGATGTGCTTCTTGGGATTGTAAAGTTTCGGTGCATTCATGCCCATCTACTTGTAAAGGTACGTTTGTATGCACGTTTACGCTCGCAGTGCGCGGGCATATGCATGCACATCAGATAAGGCCCTGGAGTTTCTGCAAGATGTGACCCTTGCTGGCCGTTCTGAGTGTGCCTCTGACAGTCCATCGGCTTTCGAGTCTTTCGAAGGTACGCCATCCGTTTCTGCGAAAAGCTGAATGCTATCGAGCGAATCTGGCAAGTTGGGATACCGATGATACACGCCGAACTCACAGCCCTTTGCCAGGCCCAAGGACTTGAGCGATGTGCTTCGCGAAGAGACGATGCTCACGAACGTTACTGTCCATGAGGCATGGAAGTTATGTCCATGTGGCTTTCCAAGTCCGTTGCTGCGCAGGCAACGGAAGATATCTTCAATGATGCTGACACTGGGGAGATGCAGCAGCTTGCGGAGTCCAAGGTCGAAGAGTTCAGTCTCTGCTTCTCTAGGATTGGCCTACCTGGAAGTCCTTGCGAGGCAACGTGAGACTCCCGACTGAGTTGTCGAGAAGCCTGGGCTGTGCTCCTGGAAGTCGTTCGTCCTGTGTGCCTTTTGCAGTCAGTGCCGCGCAAGCTTCTGTAAAGATGACCGATGTTATTTTCTCCTGTGAATCCATGCTGTGCATACCTCGGCATGGGCAAAAGACGCCTCTTCTTCTTCCATCGGAGCTTTCTGCTAATCGGCAGGGAGCCTCTCGAAGAATGATCGTAGAAGATTTAAACACTTTTCATGATGGTGACTATTTCCTTGAAGGAACTCACCTTTAGGCCTTCAGCTCTGTCTGCATCCCTGTGCAGACGTCGGAAGCTGACAGGTGCAACCGGGCTTTGATGCCAAATATCTCGTTTGTGGCCTGATTCGCAGAGGCTGGAATGCTTCAGGACTGCATCCAGCTTTTTTTAGCTCCTGCGAGGCTACGGCATGCAGAAAGAAGGCATGCCATGTCATCAGTTTCACGAAGATAGAACCACGGAAGTTGAATTGTTCGATTCGATTCGATATGAAGCAGCATGTCCGCTACGAAATAATGACAGCTGGTGAGTGTGTGTGTGTGTGTGTGTCTGTGGGACACCGTACTAGGAAACAAAATATGTCTGCTGAGCACCGTTGAGCGGCGCGCCGGCAGCCATTTCTCGTCCTTGGGTATAGTCGGATCGGCCGAGCGGGGCAAGCGTAGCTTCGCGCCGCGTGCTATTCACCGGCATTCTTGATCCTAGTCTTCGGCTTGCTCACAAAAAGGGGCGAGATGAGAGTTTGCTGCGAAGTTGCTTTCCGAGCTCTGCACCGCAGAAGCTGGAATAAGCTGGACTTCCTTCGTCAGGTACATTTGCAAGATCCATCGGGGACGCCGGGGTTCCCGCTCTGACATCATGCATTCAAGTTTGTTGGCCCGCGCCATCCCGCGCCACGTGATGGGGCCGTATTGAGTCAGGGCTGCCAGAATTATGATCGAAGAGATGTTGCTAATGCAACTGTTCGCTAACGTCTGTAAGACAGAACGGATACCCTCGGCGAGTGCAAGGCGCCTGGTGCAATCGTGGTCCGACCTTAGCCTGGAGAAGGACAGGTGGACATGGTGCTGGACTTTTTGTTTGCCTTTGCTTTCCAGGCCTTTCATGAGGCCTTGCTGCTCTCCTGGCCAGGCCTGGCAGCGAAGGAGGCGCAGTCAGCGGTTGCAGAGGAAGCTTGAGATTCGAAGTGGAGAGGCAACGCGCTACACCCTTGACTGGCAAGTTCAAGGCCTGACTCCGAGCCACTGAACCATCTTGCAGCGTTCTCACCCGTACTGGGTGAACAGAACAGCTTTGAGTAGCAACGGACCGCTAGACGGTGAAATCAGGCCGACAAGCTTCTCGCAGACTTGACATGTGGAGATGTCTTAGAGGAACATGAGCTGCTTCTGACGAGATGACTGCAGGTCAGATAAACAGCCTGCTTTGCTCGGCGACAGTCTGGATTGCGAGAACTTTCCCTATTTCCATGTCAATGCCTATATAGACTGGAGAGACAGGTCCCCAGAGCTGAACCCATTGTGGTTGTGAACGTGAATGCACGTAGGTGGTGGGAGCGGCAAGCTGGATGTCGAGCTCGGGCAGGCGTGGGCAGTGGCCGTTGGGACCTGGAGGCTACTCTAAAACTGCGTGCTGGCATGCGGTTGCATGCGGGATTGATGAGGATCGCCCTACAAACACTTGCTTGCTTGCTTGCTTGCATTGCGTCCCGGTCTGCTCTACGACTGTCTTCAGTCATGCTCCCTGACGATATTTTCCGACCACGCGATTTGTGCAGGCAACCACGCTGCTTCCAGGTTTGCCTCCGGGTTCGGCAGTCCGTGTGCGAGTCACATGCTGAGTTCACGTGCCGAGGGCGTCTGCTGCAAGATGGAGGCTAGGCCATGTTGCCATACCAAAACTGCTTAGGTACGTGCTGTGGTGTATTCCGCGAGAGACCCACTTAGCATCAAGTGGTCATCTCAGAGATCCAAGAGACTGCCCAGTAAAGCTTCGTAGAACCAGACGCGCGAATGCAGTGAAGGTTTCAAGGAGACTGGAAGGAGTTTCTTTGCATTCAAAGCCAGGCGGACGGCGAGGTGCAACTGCAAGTTGACGTTGTCTTCTAATTTTTGCTCTCCTTTGTCAGCCGTCCTTGCCAGCTTTGCCGGAGGATTTGACTCCGGCAGACGCCGGCCTGGACATGAAGGTGGCGTTCAAAGGCCTTCTTGTGCAGCTGAATTCCTTCCCTTTCGTGTAAGAGGAGTTGAAGGCAGCAGACCTCATGCTCGAGGACTGAAAGTAGCTGCCCGGAAAGTGGAGAAGTCTGTGGTGTACCGGAATGGCCGACTCGAATTCGTCCACCGTGAATTCGCGTGCCTCAGGAGCAACGTCTCCGGTCTCCACCGGCTACAGCACCTACTGTCGCGACCCTGTGCAAGAGCAAGAAGACACACAGTCAAGTGCGGTCACGCAGAGCCCTGCACGTGTAGATTTCCCTGCATGCGTAGATTTTGGAGCTCGAATGCAGATGTGCCTGAGGTTAATGCCATCGAGAAGTCATCTGCGCAGAATGCGAGGCCTCTCACACCCGCGTCATCACTACCATGGTGATGACCATGCCCAAGGGTACCAATGCTTCCAGGTGGCAGACGAGTGAATTGATTCACCAGGTCTGGCAACGACAGCCAGGCGTCGAGCACGATGAGCACGTTGTGGGGAAAGACCCAAGAGGTCAGCGATAAGAATAGCGCAACGAGAACAATTCACTGCATTGCTTGGTCCAGGTGACTTCGGGCCAGTTCCAGGCGGCCGACTCTTGACAGAGCAGGCCCAAGAGACTGGGAAAGAATGCCTACCATTCGACAGGTAGTTGTGGCGACGGTGTACATTCGGGGCGAGCCCTCTGTTGGTGGCATACCGGTGGCCGCCATGTCTTCGTCTGCCTGATGCAGCTTCTGTCGTCTGCAACGGCCTTCGCTTTCCTGCGTTCTCTTCATGTCTGCAGTCTGCGTATTTATTTGTCAACGGCACCATGCTTCATGAGGACATTTGGAAGTACACCTGCGCAGCTGATATCTATACTTGTGACATGTTGATGTGTAACTGACTGTATACTTATCCCCGGGACTTTAAACCAGTACAAGTAACATGGAGCTCACATACATGCGCACACAACACACACGCACCTCTTCGTGCATGCATGTTTACATAGGGTTTACACGCTGACCTCTGCAATCGAGCCATGGACGGCGGTGGGGAGCCGGAAGACAGGCACAGACAATGTCGCAGCTTGAGTCACCGATGGCTTGACTCTAGGGCCGACAATAGTCATTTGGACGGGTTTGCCAAGGAGTTACCCATCCTTGCCTGCCCAATTCGAAGCTGCCCCTTCACTACTCACCATGCGGGGAGCTGCACATATAGTCATGACCGTCTCAGTCTTTGAAAATTCAAGACTTCCTGGCTGTGTTGCAATCGCTGAATGTGAAAGGGACTTCTCGGAGATTGCAGCTGACCTCCCGGAGGAAGAGGATGCGGCTCGGCACGCTTAGAACCATGGCCTGCCTCGCTTTGGTGCCGTGTCGCCGAGATTGTTTTCGACGCAGCCATGCGCGAGCAAGAAGCAGCCGCTCTGTCTGCGCTGATGAGTCCGCTTCCCGATCCAGTGTCGGTTTCTGCGTTGCCGCTGCCGCAGTACTTGTGAGATGCAGGCGACGAGCCCTTCTTGTCCCGCTGCGAGAAGCGATGCGGAGTCGACAAGCTCACTTCAGCCAGGCGCATCGCGCTAAGAGAAGTGGTGAGAGAGTGAGATAAGGGTTTGAGAGAGAGAGCTTTGCGACTTTCACGATGGCGTCCTTTCAGCCTTGTGGAGAGAGCATGTGTCACTCCTCGCCCCACAACAACACGCGCTTCCCTCTCACCCTAGCCCTGGCGAAAGAGGAGAGAGAGAGAGAGAGAGAGAGAGAGAGAGAGACGGGGTTCAGGGGGTACCCCCTGTCCCCAAACGCCATGCAAGCAAGCAAGCAAGAGACTAGCGAAAGAAAGAGTGACACACAGGGGGGGGGGGGGAACAACTTGACAGGCAAGTCTTTTCGCAGCTCGGGGATGCCGACAAGCTGGGGCGTGCCGTGGAGGTCTGAAATCAGATTGCAGACGCGACACGTTGAGCCATTGAATCCTTGAATCTGTTAGGAGGTCGTCACCAAGTACGGAGCCCCACATTTGCGGCCGACAGATATTCAAGGCCGCCGGAGTCCCTGAGGCTCTGCACGTTCCGGTGCTCAGGATTCTTGAACCCTGGTGCAAGCACGAGATGTACAACTGAGGCTCTGATGAAGACACTGCGTGCTATTCGCTGCTGCTTGGCTCATCCACTAGTTCGTCCTCGGGATTTACTGAAGCACCCATGTTGGATTTTCAACGCCACGTCGTAAGGATAAATTTATTGAACTATGCCGTGCAGCTCTCAGCGTAAGTCGCAAGTGGCACGAAGCCCCTACAGCGGGTGACAACACAATTAGTAATGCTGCGAGCTCAGGCCCCAAGCGTAGCGGGAGGCACTGACGCTAGTGCCGGGTGAGGGCCCAGCGCGCCATTGTACAGCCCTGTACAATCTGTAGGAACCTCTTTGGCGAAGTTGTTCTGCCACTCTGCCCCCAGAGTGGCAGCTTGATGTACAGGCAACGGTGAATAAAGCCAAAAGTGCTACCACGAGCGATTTCTGCTGTCCAGTATGGTCGTCCGCATCAGATTGGTTCCTTTAATCTTGTCCAGATCGCCTTGGGCCTTTAATTCATCGAACCGCCAGGTGGGATTTGTGCATAAGGGCACTGTTCTGTCGGGGCAGGCTGGCTTGCAGACTATCTCTCAAGCTGCATTGAGCCTCTGCTGGGAGAATATGTCAAACTGAACAGGTACAGTCGGGCTGGCTTTGCCTTTCTGCAGATTGCAGCAGACGATTGAAGATCTACAGCGACAAGAAGGTGGGAAATCTAAAGAGTTCGGTGGAAGGCTGAGCCACTCAAGGATTTCCCTGTAAAGGCATTTGTGGCGATTGAGGGCCGTTTCGCCAATCGTCCTGACTTGGGCGCCCAACCCTTGGCACAGGCACTGCTCTGCCTGAGTTGTCTGCAGAGCTCACAAGCCTAGGCCCTGTTGCAACGCGTGGATGCAGACACTGCCAACACTGCCAGCGAGAGGTGCTGGCAGAGAGGAGAGAAAGAGCAGGGCTCGAAGGCTTTGCTGTTTGGGCAGGCCCCTCGAGGACTCCGATGTCGGGAATGCTCGAAGCATCGAGTCCTTAAGGCCAGGCCCCTCTTTCCCTAGTGGGGGATGCCTTCGCCCTTCGCCCTTCGTAGGCGCAGGGCAGAGCGTGCTTGCCAGGTCGCCCGCTCAGATTGCCAGGGCCATGCATAGTCCGTGACTTGCATTTGTCGAGGTCCTTAACTCGGAGCCGCTTCACTTTCAGGCCCTAAGACGTCTATGCGTGTGTGACATCGTTTGCGTGATGCTCCGGCAGGTGATTTCGGAGAAAGCCTCCGTGCGAGCAAGCCCGGATGCTCATGCGACCACGTCTTGGGCCAAGTCGGCCAGCTCTCGTCCATGGTCGTCCGCCTCCGGCGCAGATCTGACTTGCCAGGACATCAGCGCTTCACAAGGGCACGCCACCCTGGAGTTCTGCTTCGTGTCACGCTTCCACAGCTGGCGAGCAGCTCGCCAGCATATTGCCGCGATGTGCGTCCGAGTCTGCCAGGCGATCGCGTAAAGGGTTATCCCTCCGGCAGCTGGCTCAGGCGCAGCTGAGCTCTTGCATGCAGATGTATGACTCAACAAGATGATTGTAGCAACAGGCTCGCCCGAAATGACAGCAAGGGTGAAGGTGCGGTGGGACTTTAACCTTCCAGTTCCGACTTCATGCCCGTTACAAACGCTCTGCATGGCAGGATGGGTTCAAATCGAGTCGTCGGGAGCTGATTCCACGTTGTATCTGGAGGCCCGCAGGAAGTAGCGAGGGACTAGGGCTTTTCCTGGAGCGGCATATATGCCGTGTCCAGACCTTATGCCAGTCCATTCTAGCCTCCTTGACATCGTTGGAAGGTATCAGCACTTGATGTTGTCCACATTGATTGCACATTTCCTTGACACATGCTCTCACTGTGATCTGTTTACGGCCTGATGTTTGATAAGCTGACCCTACTGTTTGGTTTACTGAGATACGAACGTCCTCAATTGCGTACTCTCGTGTCGTACATGCACATCGCCTGCTCTGCAAAAATCTTACTGCTTCACGAGCCAGTGCCTGAAAACTTGCGAGTAGACTCTTTCATCATAAGCTTGTTTGAGCTGTGACTGACATTCGGGCACACTGGCAGTCCCTGAGGCGTTCTGCCCGGCAACTACTCGTACCAAACATTTCGGATTTAGGATCAAATTTGAGCGCTTACGAGTAAACTCTTCCACTGGGTCTGCGCGTAAACTGGTGTTGTGTTTCCAGGAAGGCTTGACGGATGTTCCACCGCATGTTTACCACAGCCTCGAAACTCTGAACCCCCGCAGATCTGTATGAGGTAGGCCAGACCGTGGCCCACCCTAAGCAAGCCCATGCCATCTAATGCGCGACTTAATACACTGGTAATTTCCAAAGCGTTTTGCACTACGTGTACTCTTCTGATAGCAGCGTGCCAGGCACCATGTTGCGCAGTTATTTATCGTGGCTGCGACTCTCTCTCTCTCTCTCTCGCGCGAGTGTCATCTGTATTGTTGTGTGTGCACAGCCGTACTGCAGTCCGATTGTGTTTGTATGATTCGAGTTGGGCTGTGTATTGACAGCTTGTGCAGCCAGTTGACTTCGTTTTCCCACCCGCCCGCCCTGAAAGAGGGGGTGGAGTGGGACTGCTGTCGCTGGAGCCTGGAGGCTTATGTGTAAGCATTCGGATGCACATCGTCCCATCGTCCCAAAAAGGCCGCTTGTGCTGAGTGAGTGCGAGATTGTAGAGGCTACTCTGGCTGCCGCATGTAACGCTACATAACCGGTAGCGAGTATCATGGAGCAATCTCATGCAATGCCTCTTCCCGCACATGCCAATGCAACGCGGAAACCCTTCAACTATGGTTGCGTTCCACGGTGAACAGGAGCAAGGGAGTGTTAGGTGTTTTTGGGTAGGGCACTGCCCAATGTGAACGTTTGAATCAATTCTTAGCGGGTCAGGAATGGCATGGGCCGGGGAATATCTTGCTGTTTGCGAGAAGGGCTTCGTATGTAGACTAAGACAACTTGAAAGACTCCTGGCAAGACTCCGAGTCTCATGAAAAGCTGACCAGGCGGAGTGGTCAAAAGTGGAGGTTAAGCGGGCCTTTGTCGAGGCGTGGCACCCAGAGAACGCAATGGTACCGTCCCTGTGATCTTCGGGAGTCTCTTCTGTGAGTGTCGTCCCTGTGCGGAAGAGTGTTCGGCCCACGTAGGCCATAACTTTGGAGTGGTCTGGCCTCATCATTGAGCAGAAGGCGCGGTTCTCAGAAGCTCGTAGTATTGGGGAGTCTTGGCGGCCTGGACTGAGGTCACGTACGCTGTCGAGTGGCGTCCTAGTGGAGGCGGTGCAGGCTCTTGGACTCGGGCTTGAACTCGGGCTGCCGTTTACATTGCTTTCAGGAGGTGGGCCGTGAAGAGTCTGCAAAGGCAAATTGCGAAGTCTAACTAACGGTTGGGGTCAGTACAATGCAAGCGCATCGCTTCAAGCAGGAACAGCATTGGTAGTGCTGTCGGTTAAACTGGACCTGACGACGGTCCTGACTGCACTTGTTAAGGGGACCCTTGACTAGTTGACTAGTTAGGTATCTACCTTTTGCACATCCACATCAACTTAGTCATTCGCTGACAGTCCATAGAGGAAGCATGACGGAGCCCTTCTGACGCAACGGCCGCTGATCCCTGCCGCAGCAAGGTGGTCACGCAGTCAGCAAGTCAAGCCATCTTCATCTGACGGGGTCGCAGCCTCATCTTGTGTGCTCGCAGCTTCCGGGTGGCCAAATGCTCTCTCCGTCTAATGTCTCAGGCTGCCGGCGGACGGAAAGTTTTCAATGCGAGTTTTGGCTTGCGTGGTAGCCTCAGATCTGGGGAGCTGCCGGTGCGCCTGGTGTTCTGCAGCTACAATCTTCTAACCGATTTAGGCTGTGAGCCGCTTCGGAACGAATAGAGTTTGTAGAGACGAAATGCAGCAGCTACACACATGACGAACGTAACGAGCAGAGCGACTGGACTGGCAACCCAGTGAACATCCTCCGCTGATAGCGGCAAGAGGGAAGCCCTGCCAAGTTTTTCATAAGAGCATGCAAGCTGCAACGAGAGACTCGGTTCAACCCCCAGCTCGAAGAGGGGTGAACACCCAAATTCTAGTTGGGAATGGCGATACCCTGAGCCGCAAACTGAAACTCAATCCTGGAAGTGCTGGCGGAAGGAAAGCAAAACGAAGCACATCGCCTGAAACTCAAAGGGGAGTCGAGAGCGGCGAGCCCAAAGCCCGACAAAAGTAGGAATCCCGCAGCCGCATGGTCCAGACTTTGGTGGTTGAAGGTGGTAGAAACCATGTTTGAAATATGGAAATGGACAAGCTGTGGCCTACAGGACTACAGGAGGCAGAGCAGAGTATCTGGGGATTGCAATCAATCAAACCTAGTAGAGGGTAGCATCCGTAAAATCAGCAGGATCCTTTTCATAAGGGCCGGTACTTGATTTCCAGACGCCCCCCCCCTCCAATGTTTTGTGTTCCACTGCTGAAGGGAGGATGCCTTTGGAGCTGAGTCAGCATAGCGTTGGTGATCTTCGGTTTGAGACATCGGGTGGCTGATGAACACTTTCGAGGCTCTGAGCTCTCTAAGCCCGGATCCAGGCGAGCCTTTGCCGGAGTTAGGATGCAAGTGCCGGGCCGGGATCTTCCCAGTGCATGCTCCTTTGGGGTGCGCGATGGCAGTAGCATCCTTGTAACGGGGCTTCTTGTCTTTATATAATATAATATAATATAATATAATATAATATAATATAATATAATATAATATAATATAATATAATATAGTATAGTATAATATAATATAATATAATATAATTATAATATAATATTGCCCTTGGCAAGTCCGTTTTACCTCGCCGAGGTGGCGAGCGACGAGCCGAAGGTGACGCCTTTGAGGCTCAACGGGCCTTGGCTCGAGGCGGGGCCGCTTCTGCCGCGACGTGCCCCGCGGCGTCGCTGCTGGTAACCTTTCCTTTCGGTTTTGTGGCTCGGGGCAGGCTTCAAGCCTGCCTGCTTCAAGGAGGCCCCGGAGGGGAACTCGTGGCTTTCTTCGAGCCTCCACGCAAAGTTGAGTAGGGCTCTAGGAGCCTCGCCCGCCTTGGTGGGTCGAGGGCAGGATCCAGGAAGAGGAAACGTCAAATCAGCAATGGCGCACTTGTGTGTTGCAAGCAGACAGCAGCGATCTGGGGCGAGCCCCGGGCGGACAAGATGACATGTAGCAAGGGAGAACGATCGGCTCGTGGCATCCATCTCTTCGATCAGTGCAAGCATTCATGCAGATGGTCAACATTTACACGTCAGAGCTCTGCTTCATCGTTGAACACCACTGTGATCCCCACGCTCTATCAGCGAATATTTTTTCGTTCCTTGCTTGACTTCTTTGGCGAATTAGTCGCTAGTCATCGTCCTTTTAATGTCGTACTTGAGTTGTCACCGGCTGCTAAGGCTAGAGAAGCCACCACCTTAAACAGTGAAAGAACACCGACCATGACGAAGAGCAGCTCCCTGCAACGTCGCAAAACCTGTTGCGCCACAAGCTCGTATCTCATTCGTGACAGTTGGGTGAGCACATGCATGGACCAAAGGGGATGCCAGGAAACCCTCACTTTGTCAAGAGCAGTGATGCATCGAAACAGGCCACTCGCTTGTTGCTCTACTCTTCTCGCTCGGCACCCTGATCAATCGTCCGACCTCAAGATCGCAGCACGTCGAAGGAGTCACTAGAGCTTGAGAAAGGTGTCCCGCTGCGACCATTGAAGCTTTTCAGAAGGCCACCAGTTTTAGCATTCGCGTTAATCACTGCTCATCACACTAAAGCCGGGCAACAGTGCCCAGTATGCCCCTTCCCCCTTCCCGTTTTCGGTCTGTTGAAGCTGGAACATGTACCACATGTGCTGCTACAGTGGAGGTCATGACTCCAAAGGATCTGTGCCGTGATGGGAGCCAGGTTCTTCAGCCTTTCGAGATACAGGCGCCAGAGGCGCCTGAGCACTCAAGCAGTCAGCAAAGATGTAAGCGAACAGCTGTCCTGGTCGCACTGTACACCTTGGGATCTGTCGGCCTCACCTACTTGATGAAATTCCTCTTCAGTTACATGTGGATATCTGTGGACCAACTACAAGTGCATGGTCTCCCGGCACCGCTCTTCTGGACGACCACGCAACTGGCAATCAGCTTTGGCTGCTTTGCAGCCTCTTCTCAGGTGCATTGGTGCTCGCACGGGAGATGGGGTTATCGGCCTCCTCCGTTGAATCCTAGAATCGCGAAGCAAGTGGCCTTGCTGGCGTTGTCGTTTGCCACCAGCATTGGCCTGAACAATTTGTCTTTGTCCATGGTCAGCCTGTCCGTCAACAACATGATCCGCTCCACCAGCCCCTTGACAACAGCTGTCGCAGCTACAATTTGGACAGGCGGTGCGCCATCTTCGGAACAGTGGATCTTCGTAGTCTTGGGGACTTTTTTCGTGCTGATAAATGTGCTTGCTTCGCAGCCAGCAGCACCTTCTACGCAGAGCACCTTCACTTTAGGAGTAGCAGCTGGTTTTCTCAGTACCGTCGGTGGGGCTTTCATGTTCATCATCGTCGAGCTGTTCAAGGGATCCTCGCTTCCTCTCAACGCCATCGACTCTGCGGGATACATGTCTCTGCCGGCAGCTGTGTTGCTTAGTCCTTGGATCTTCCTTTTCCCACACGCAGCTGGGAACTGGCCAGAGAGGCTGGGGACCAGTCGAACCGACTCTGAGTTGCTTGGAATGGTGTCTGACCATGCAAGGCTCGCAGCTGCAGTTGCTCTTAGCGGCTTCGCTGCTTACGGATACAACATGCTCCAGTTTTATACGGTGCAAGAGTTGTCGTCTACGCAGACGGCCTTTGCGTCCAATGTCTCCAAAGCAGTTCTCTGCTTGCTATCATGGATATTGCTGGAGCCGGCAACATCCAGCCAGCTGCGGTCGTGGCTTGTGGTGCTCTCTGCAGCTGGCGGCCTCACTTGCTTCTTCCTCTACGTGCTTTCCAAAGCTAGAAAGCCTGCGCCAGAAGAGCCGTGGCATCATGATCGCTGTAGGGTATCCTCAGTTGCTTTGCTGGCTGTCCTTGCCATGATCCTCGGGAGCTTGGCCAACACCCTTGATTCGCCGGCGGGCCAGTAACAAAACAAAGCTGTCTCCGTTTTGCCTTTTGCATCCAGGTGCCGCTGCGACTATGTAGACTGGAACACGTGGAAGGAATGACCCACTGACACACTCCTCGACTGCATGCAGTCGTTGGGAATCGAGTTGTGTGCTTTTTCGCTGAAAGTCGTCCTGACATCGCCGGGGCCGTTGTCAGTTGATTTTGCCACACCTGCCAAGCACTTGCTGCTCGCAGAGCCGTCTACCCGATAAACAGTATCGCAAACTTTGTCCGCTACAAACAACTTGCGTAGCTGACGAATTTCACACCTGGCTTGGGATAGGGCACGAGACGGAGACAATGCACCACTGCTTCTGTGAGGTCACCCACCTGCACGTGTGTCCACCATTTTGCATGCCAGGCCAGGTTGGTCCAGCCGCATATCCGAGAGCAACTTGGACCCTTTGGGGCAAGTCCGCGCCGGCTGTCTCGCTGCAATCTCAGATACTGGTAGCAGACCACGAAACCGAAGAGGCTGTTTCCATGATGCGCTTAGGCCAGCAAGTGTTCTGGATACCTGGCCCCAGAGGAGCCGAAAGACTCAAGACCTTTGGTATGCTAGCAGTACCGACCGTCATGCCTCAGTATTGCAGATCTGGTGCAGGATTCTGCAAGCTACGTCAACGACCCCAAGGCCACGCTGTGCAGGCACTGGCAAGCAACCCTTCCATCCAGGGGTTGCATTTCGACCTCCGTGCAGCAGCTGTGCAAACAAGTTTAGAGTAGCGAGAGGCGCTGTGGATATGCCTTCCTCGATCACCGAAGAGGATTCTCAGGCTGAAGCAGTGTTCCGACATGCCGCATCATGCTAGCATGGTTTGTGGCCCGCACTGCATCCGTGCCGGATGTGTGGTGTAGCTCGCTCAGAAGTCTTTCTCAACTATGCACGGCATGCAGCTTTTATTTTTCAAGCATTGCGCCGACCCAAACATGGCCCAGAGGTGACTTGGCTTTGCCTGACAAAGTACTTTGCAAGCTAGCTTTCGCCGGCCCACTGCATCCGAGGAAAGTGCTTTTTCCTCTGCAACTACTTGCCTTCGCATGGACGCAGAGGCGCTACTTACCTTTGAGCCCGGAGAGCCGGATGTAAAGGCAACTTACGACATCTAATCTTGAGGCTTCACACCCTGATCCGCCTGCGTGCCATACATGCTAAGTACTAAGCGGGTGCTGCTATTCCTGGGTTTGGACTTTGACTAACAGAATACCGTGTTCTCGTTTCGTCACATGCCTGCTATGCAGATCACCGTTGCAACAGCGTTTGCTGCGAATCTATCTTGAGCCTTAGCAGGCATGCCTTCCTGAATGTGACAGCGGCACGTGGCCTATCGCGACATGCAGCTGTAGGCGCTTCGGCTGAGCGAGCCAGGACGCTTCCCTGTTCCTGGTCTCCCGAGCATTCCGAAAATGTTCGTAAAGTCCTCACATGATGTTGGCAAGTGTTGTAGTGTGCGAGGAGCGCTGTGGCTCTCGCTGCCCGTGGAGGTGAGAGTGAAGCGGACGAGGCAGGGCGTTGGCTTTGCATTCTTGGCCCTTGGCTGTGACCACCGCAGCAAAGTTACGACCCTGTGCCCCCTTCAGGAGACAATCGATGTTGGTGGATTCTCTGCACTGGTAGTTGGGCTTGCTCTGCTGCCTTTTGCAGGTGCCTACGAGTTTTTGGCAATTTCTTTTTTGGTTACAGGCGATCGGACATCATTCTAAGTGGGCTACTTACTCTGACACAACCCACAAATTAGGCTACGCCCTTTCCGCGGCAGTCTCTGTGATCTCTGGAGCAAGCTTCGAACTTGGACCTTTCGGCCTGCAGCTGACCTCGATCTTTATCACTGTGGGGTTGCCCGGCTTTGCACACCTGAAAAGGTTCGGCCTTAAGCTATAGGAGTGTAAAGCCCGGTGTTGCTACTCAAACCCCCAAGCCCCATAACACCCGCCTAAACGCTTGTAGCGCTTTTTATCTGCGCTTCAACCCGCAACACGCCTCCTCCCAAGCCTTCCCAAACCCGCGTACAAAGCTAAAAAAGTAGAAGCCTTGCCTTTCTGAGGTCTGTCCTGTGGTCGTTGAGCAGCGTCTTCTCCCGCGGGAAGGGGCTCCCGGCGGGCTGGCTTGGCCTTCTCGGACTTGCGGAGGCCAAGAGCTTACGGGTTCTAAGACCTTATGGGACTTGCAAGGTGTAGGTCACTTTTGGGGTGTCGGTGTTTTGGGATCTGCGATCTAGGGTTTTGGATGTTGGGATTCTGGGGTTCAGCCGGTAGTGGCTCCCGGTGGCCAGGGCCTCTCCTACGTGGCCACCTTGGCCTTGGTGCTCGCAGCCTTGGCCTCCAGCTTCCGAAGCCCATCTGCGACGCAGCCTGGTCAGAAAAGCCAGGCCAGGCGGGGCATGCGTTTGGACGACGAGAGCAAGCCTCCTAAGATAAGAAGTGTGTTTTGATGAAAGACCTCCCACCTTTCCCCGCCTTGCCAACTTGTGATCCAGAGGCACCGGCCTTCCGATCTTCGAGCGGCTACTCGGCACCTTCGGGCCGTAACGATCTCTTCTCCTTCGACTCGGGCGCCAACCTGAAAGTGCCAGAGTTCAAAGCGCCGGAAGTTAAGATGCCGTCCGTGCCAGCGTTCAAGTCTCCGGAGCTTCCGTCTTTCAAGGTGCCTGACATCAAAGCGCCACAGGTTCCATCGTTCAAAGCCCCCGACATCAAGGTTCCTGACATCAAAATTCCAGATGTCAAGCCGCCGCAGATGCCAGCTTTCAAGGCACCCGAGGCGAAGGAATCTGCAAAGCCCGCAAGAACTCCTGCAAAGGCTCAGCCCAGCGGTGGAGACTTCGACGATCTGTTTGGTTCCGATGTTGTAGCACCGCCTGATGATGCGGCGGTGAAGAAGGCTCGAGCAGCAGAGGCAAAACAGGCAGAGGAGCGCAAACGCGAAGAAGCCAAGAAGGCGGCGGAGAGGGAACGCAAGGCCGAGGAAGCGAGACAACGTGAAGAGGCCAACAAGGCCGAAGAGCAGCGAAAGGCCGCGGAGGCGCGCAATCGAGAGGAGGCCAAGAAGGCCGAAGAGGAGCGAAAGGCCGCAGAAGCGCGCAAGCGTGAGGAGGCCAAGAAGGCCGACGAGGAGCGAAAGGCCGAGGAGGCGCGCAAGCGCGAGGAGGCCAAGAAGGCCGAAGAGGAGCGAAAGGCCGAGGAAGCGCGCAAGCGTGAGGAGGCCAAGAAGGCCGAAGAGGAGCGAAAGGCCGAGGAGGCGCGCAAGCGCGAGGAGGCCAAGAAGGCCGAAGAGGAGCGAAAGGCCGAGGAAGCACGCAAGCGCGAGGAGGCCAAGAAGGCCGAAGAGGAGCGAAAGGCCGCAGAAGCACGCAAGCGTGAGGAGGCCAAGAAGACCGAATCGCAAGCGACAGGGGGAGACAAAAAGGCTGAGGAGGCACGCAAGCGTGAGGAGGCCAAGAAGGCCGAAGAGGA